TCAAGAGCACGCAGACAGCTCTGCGTGCACCAGACCGCCTGGGAGATACTCAGCGCTTTCCACTTACTTGTAAGGAAAAAAGAAAGCCAAGTCCTGCATTTGCATCACGTACTTACGTGCTTCTAAGCGAAGCTGAAGGGCAATTGCTTTCACGTCAGCCTGCCTGTACGGGAAGGTTTTGTTTCCCGAGGTTGGTTTTGCAAAATGCTGCTTCTTGAATTTTTCAAGAAAATGAGTTATGATAGAAATGTTTTTTTAAAGGCTGAATGAAAAAGGGCAGCTGAGTAGGAGCAGCCTTGCTCCAGACAGCAATTTCGACGGCCGCACGAGGCCATAAAGCCAGGACACAATTAGACACTGCTGCGAGTCAGGCAACCCCCTCCCGCTGCTCGGGGATCCCCGGAGGGTTCAAAGCCCCTCAGCAGAGCCGGAAAATTGCMCGTTGCCGCCTAAAGGATTCGGGGAGGGAAGTTACCCCCAGCGCAGCTCGGGTTATAAATGCACTCAGATCTGCATTCGAGGCAAACCTCACATGAGCTATAGAAATACTTCTATAGGAATATAGGTTGCTTACCCTTTAATCTGTGCTTCAAGAGACATCCGCATGCAAGATACTTGTGTGCGAGTCCCCTCTCATGCTTGCTGGCACTCTCTTCTCCTCTTCYTTCCCTTCCTGGCTCCTCAGGACCCTTCTGTTCTCAGCCCTCGGCCTTCTGCTCTCAGGGGCTCCCTTTGAAGAAAGGCAGCAGCAATTCCAAGCTCTCCTCGCCGCCCTCCTCCTCCAGCACCCAGAACTCTCTAAGAAGCCTCATGGAAAGATTCTGAACACAAGTGAAAGATGCTGCTGGGCAGCCCTCAAGGACAAGCTTAGCAGTTAACGGCCACATCTCAATTATCAGACTACTAGCCAAAGTTTACCCTCCTGGAGGATCAGTTAAACCAATCCAACCTCCCCTGGCTTGCCCTCCTTCTCAGCCTCTTTATTTTACCTCAGGAAGTTTTCATAGAAGCTTTGCATGGTACCAACCAGCCCTAAGAACACAGCAGGCTCCCACTCCACAAGAGGAAAAAAAACCCCACTATCAAAAGTTAACTCTAGAATCACCAAGTATCACATGCCATGTACTCCACAGATGGAAAGGCTACTACAAGTGTTAATGAAAGGCACTAACAACAGTTAGAGCAGCACTTGGAAGATGCTGAGTCTACAGCTACATTTCTTGAAAGGGAAAGGAAAATTAGCCAGTTTATCAAATTCCCAGGGCAAGCCCCTCACGGGAACTTCAGTGGAGAGCCAGAAGCTGATGCAAGCGGCAAACACTCTTCTCAGCCATCCTTCACGTGGGCACATGGTGTTTTCTGYAGACAGTTTTTTTAGTTTGGCCCCTCGTATTTACTGAGGAAATTGGGTTTCTGATCTGCAAGACATCGGCCATAAATAACAACTGAACTTACCCTTGTAGCAGGCTACTAGCTCTAGAAATAAAAGGAAGCATTGCGAGATTTTAGGAGGTGCTGAAATATTTGTTTTGAAGTTTTATTACAAAAATATATTTGCAAACATACAAAATTTTGATGAAAAATGTTCATTCTTAAACATTTACGCAATAACTTAATATTTGCAAACATACATAGGTGCTATAAAATCCATACCATACCAAAAACATTAATGATGCAGTATCTACATTTAATGACTTAAAATTATTCTCATTTTAGATTTCCAGAAGTTTTTCCTGAAGCTCCCCTTCCCTAAGGTCTTCATACTTAAAGAACATGCAAATGTAGGAACTCATGCATCCACAAAACTGGTAAAACTCAGACATTGCTAAAAAGGTAAAATGTGCTAAAACAAGAACAAATAAAAAAAAGAGAAAAACACACACAAAAATCTAACCATGTGCCCAAACACTAAATAGATAAAATAAATAGACCACCAAATTTAAGATACTGCAATTTTTCTAACTTGAAGTGAAAGGCAGATATTGCATCTTAACATTTTTGTAACGATGTCAGACAAAACTGAGGCGAAATATTGCACACATTCCTCCTGTTAAGATATGCTTAAGAAGCAACTCAAAAAGCTGGCCAAAAGGTGGCTGACTCATTTAGAACTTCTCTTTTCTTTTTAAATTACCAAATTAAAGTCCATTTTTTGGAAAACTTCAAAATTTAAAAACTATATCAGTGACTACACTTAGCATAACAGGTTTCAGAGCGATACCAAGATGAAGCTATTAGAAATGCAAGCAAAACTGAGATACATCCAGCAGCAAGTATTTAAATATTGAGTATGTATACATAGACGGATAAGCATTTAGTTGCCACAAATTAAGAGAAGTTACTTATCCATTTCATTCAATCGTTATACAGAATTTTTTTTTATTTGGAGAGAGATACTGGTTCTAAGTTAATAGCTCTCAGGCACCTTTCATAACTGTTGCCTTATTCAACAACAGCAGATAACTTCTAGCTACAACACTGAAAATCTTGATTTCCCTGAATTTCAGCAGCCTCAGTTGGTTTCAAATCCATCTTTGATTAAATCTCAATTTAGTTTCTGCTTTCTGCGTTTTGCTTCAATTGACTTACCGGTGACACGCTTGGTAAGAGCGCCCGCCCGGGGAAGGCGGCCCAAGGCGCCCGGGCTGGCCTCAGAACACRGGCCAGGTCCCTCGGGACAGCAGGGCCCACAGCACGAGGCGCCTGTCGGGGTCCCCCGAAGTGGCTGTGACGGCCACGGTAACTGGCTACACGTTAGCGACCACCACAGGCACCCAACAGGAATCAGCACCCAGACGAGCTGGTCACTTGAGATTTACGCCAACAGTAAAAGCGATCGGAAAACAGACAAAAACATCCCCAACCAAACCCTGCAGTTGTCAGGCAACACGTTCCACCCTTCACCTGCAGCTCTGCACTGCGGCCGGCCTGCTGGTTCCATGGAAAAGCAGGCAGGAAGGGGCTGACATGCTGAGTGCGATCCCGTGGGATGCTCCAATGGGATGCTGAGCACGCTCTGCGCTCCTGTGGGATGCTCCCGGGTCACCCACGTCCCCSGACAGCAGCAGGGCAGCCTCGCGCAGGCTGCCAGCCCAGCGACTCCCACCGCCYTTGGCACCTCCCCAGCTCATCCCCAAAGCCGCCAAGGGTTTAAACTGGTACCCTCCAAAATCAGAGCAAAACATGGAGCTGCCAACTAGAGGGGAGGTCGCTGGRCACATAGAAACAAATGCAGGATGTTCAGAGTGAAGTCCAACTCCCAGAGACGCTGCTGCTTTMGAGAGCATTTTCCTCCCTCTTCTTCAACTCAACTGCCTATGAGTTAGCAGCTCAAACCGCTGCTCCTTCCCGTCACTCCTACAGATCTTTGGATATGACATTAAGGATCAGACTATTTAGCAAATAGCACAAGTATCTGCTATCAGCTTCCAACAGATGTATTTTTGGAAACTCATTTCAAATCTTTCAAATTCCTTGAAAGAAATTGGAAACTATTAAAGAAAAGTATGGACTTAGTCTTAGCTAAATCCAGAGGAAAAAAATTTTTGGTTGATGTTTGCTCTAGGCTATCAACTTCCCCCCCTCCCCATAGAATCTGCTCAGTTGTTCATCCTTTTCCTTAGTAAGTTACATAAAAAGAAAAAAAAGATACTTTAGTCCTAATCTGATTCTCATTGCTTATGCAGATATACAGAATTACATCACTACAATTTATGTAGGAAGCTCCCATCTTCCTTAACGAGGCTTGGAGTATATATTGCTGAATTCAAATGCTACCATTAAAGCCAACACGTTTCTTGGTAAGCGTGCATGACATTAGCATCTTTCCCTGAATCCTGCATTTGTTCTCCTAACAAAATAGTATATATTTTAAAGGGGAGACATTGAACTCAAGGGCTGAGAAGAGCTTTACAGAAGGCAGGTAGTGCTAAAAAAAAAAAAGTATATTGTCCTCAGGAAAAGAAAGCTATAAAAAATAAGAGATCACATATATAAAACAAATATTTGATACATCTGAAACATTATCTGTGAACAAGTCACAGTTAAAGCTTAACTACTAGTTTCCAATGAAATGGCTGCGCACCTTGACTATGTCAACGGCAACTAATCCTTCGGATATACATAAATATATACATATATTTTTTTTTGCCAAGAGTCAAACATTTTTTTCTTCATATTTCAACAGTGCTGGGGGGAGGCCAGAAAGCAGTGCTCACAACTTACTGCAAGTGACCTTTTCACTCAATAAACCAAAACTTTGCTACTAGAAAAGCTCTCCTTAAAACTAGTATTGCTGGAAGAAGTTGAGCCCTATGTCTCAACTCCTGAGACATCCCTCAGAGGGAATCTTACTGACTCCCTTTGCAAGCCACAGAAGGGGACAGACCAACACAGCAGCATAGGAGAATCCAGGACATGCCTGGATTTCAAAGAGCAAGGAAGGAAGCTAAATTCTAATATTGAAGAGTGAATTACAAAAGTCACATATAAGAATCTGTAGCAATTCAATTAGATAAAACAAACAAAACAGAAACAAACAAAAWTCCCATCACCACAATCTGGGGAGCGGACAACAAAAGAAGAACATGTTTGTTCCCCATCTGCAAAGCTTTCAACACTGCAGCTCGAACATAACCRAGGAAGGAAACCCCACTACAAGACTGGTCCATCCCTGAACTAAAGGGAAACAAACTATTTCCATTATTATACTGCACACCACTGAACAAGAAGATGGGCTTCCTGTGGTCTTCCAAGGATAACATTAAAACAAAAGAACTTCAGCAGCCAACAGAAATATCTGTTGCTTAAAGACAATACTCTGAGGATTTTGCATATTTCAAATTCTGTCTTTTTAAATAAAACTGTCCACTTAATGTCAGAAATGTTCAAACAAGTTTAAGGAATATTTACAAGAAATTCATGTATATTCACTAAGGACTGTTAGTGATTACATATTAAGCAAATCATGTTTTTAATCCCTGCATTAAAGATCTAGCTCCTGAGGCTCAATTCCCCACTCTCTTCCCTGCACCTGGCAGCTTAAACACAAGGCCTCATCCTCTCCTGCTCTTGGTTAGTTCTTAGAATTGGGCCTAGGTTCATACATATGGGTTCTGCTGTTCTGATGTAGCCTAGCATATGATGTATTTGCTGGCTGACGTAGCCCTGATGCTGCAGTTCTTGAAAAGCAAAGACAGCTTGGAATGAAAGCCAGAGCAAACATCTGCACTTCTGCTTAACGTTAATGAGAGCTCACATGCAACTTAATTCCCTGTCCCAGTAAAAACAAAGGTTTGCTGGTGATGATCACAGTGAAAACCTAGATAACGTCTGAGAGCGCTACTTTCCTYAGTATTTAAGGAACAGTCTTTCCTAATAGGTTCAAATTCAAGACATTGAAAACTAAATATTCTTTTAAAAAAATATTAGTTACATATTTTTATATATATGAGGCATAATTGTTTCTAGAGTGGACGTATTCCAAGCAGATTTCATTTTGATTATAGCTTGTTGTTGTCTGTATTCTTGGTTAGGACTTGCAAGTAGACTTCATGGATCGTGCTAAGAAAGTGGGAATCATTCTGCAAGAAAAATACGAGAAATATTAATATTAAAAAAAACAAAGAGGCAAACTCAGCAAAAAAAATCAAGTAAAATTTAATTCAAGGATTCCTAATACAGCCTCCAATATCTCAGGGGGAAGGCAGGGGAACTAGCTCCCCAGCTGCTCAAATGTCTGAGTTAACACCAAGTTGTTTCACATATTCCACAGCAAATTCACTGTGAAAGGAGAGGTCAGCAACGACCACGTGGATACTTTCCAAGTCCAGCTCAGGTGAACTTGGCCTRAACAGCCACTAGCACAGACACAATTCCATCTTAGAGACTAACACCGCAGTTAGAGATCACCTGAAAACACTCATTACTTTCAACTTGGGCTGCAGAAAGAGTTAATAAAGAAACAGCCCAGCACTACCCTTCTTCCCATGTGCCACCAGGGCCTTCTACCACTGTAGCTTTCTGCTCAGATGTCCGCAAGTTGATACAGATGCGAAGGGGCATCCAACGTGGGGTTCTGCCCTTCCAAGTGCTGCATCTCACAACCAAATGACTTATGAGGAATAAGCTGTTCTAAACTACATGGACAGCAAGGAATAATCTACCCATTTCASAAGGGACCTGTTTTTAAGGTTGCCTCCTAAGGAGGAGGGACCTTCTAAGGTCCCTCAAACAGGCAGCTCTGAAGACAGCACCTTTATTAGATGTATCAGCGCCTCCTGAAGCTGAGCCCTACTGAGAACAGTGGGGGCCATTGTCTGCATCTCTGTTGTTCCAAGTGTTACAGGAGAGGAAGAAGTGGCTTTATTCTCAACCTCAGGAGTTTTTGTAGCAGCCTGCTGGAACACGCTGGGAGACAAGAGGATTGAAGGAGCTACTGTGGTCGAGGTTGTAACAAACAGTGGAGGTGCAACCTGTAAAAAGCAGGAGACAAGTAAAGCACCATGCCCAACATGAACAAACACAGCACAAAAGGCTAGAGAAATGAATGTTTAGGGAGTGAGGGAGAGGAAACACACATGTTTTTACTGGAATGAAAGCATCTCAGAACAAAGACACTTAACATGACTGATGAGCTGTAATCTAAGTGTTGGGGTATTCCAAACATCTGTATTTATGTTTTTCCTTTACAGTTAGAGGAATATCCTGAAAACTGTCTGCCCATTTTCTCTACAGGCCTATACCTAATTATTTACTCAATGCTGCCATTAAATACTTTTCCTTAAAGCCTAAAGCCCAAACACACAGAACACTACTTGTATACAATGAAAAGGAAAGAAGACATCAGCCCGGAGCAACTCTAAGATCTCCAGGTACCCTCGTTACACAGCACAGCGACGCTGCTACATCTTGCTCGTTCCACCGGCACAAGCTTGGCAGGGAGGCACAAATACGAGGGCACCTCACTCAAAGGAATGGAAGAGCAAATACTACAGCACGCAACCAGGTCTGAACCTGCRACTAAAACTGCTCTGCACAAGGTAGTATTTGACACATTTTAAAGGAGGAGAGCGCAGGTAAAGGGAAATTAGAACTAGAGTACAGGTTATACACTGAAAGCACTTCAAAAAAAAAAAAAAAACACACAACACACACACCTAGAAGAGTTGAAGAGTTGTCTTACTYTAAATAGCAACCCAAAACTGTACAGTTCCCTTGTTTCAGGCAAGTCATTCAAGGGGAGTTGCAGCAATCTTAAATTCTAAATGTGATCAGATGTAACACTAGGGCCATTTGAGATGTCAACTGTTTTGCAATATGAATAAACACATACACACACACGTATATATAAAAATTGTTATTCTTCCCTTCACCTCCCACTCTCCCCCAAAACTTGCTGAGATGTTTATTCACTTACTTGACTTGCTTTAGACCCAGCCTTTGCCTGTGGAAATCCTTCCGATTCCTTGTTTTGTTGTACAGCCTAAGTTAAAAAGAGAAACCCCAAGTTAGCATGGACAACTGGGCTTTCCAGCAGCAGCTGTTTTTATAAAAKCACAAAAATGCAAGTTATCAACATATGTTTACGTGTAGCTTGTTCCACTTGTGAAAATAGATGCAACCTATGAAAATAGGAAAAGGAAAAAGGATTTGAAGGATTCTTAYGTTTCCAACTTCCATAAACTCCTCCAGCATTCTCAGAAAGGCTCAGTAGAGCCCTTCCACACACACTTCGGCAGCAAGCTCAGATGTTTTAAGTGACAGCCCCCACTGCAGATAATACTCAGTTTACCTGAGCCACAGTGAAAAATCCACAAGGAACTGGTTACGTTCAAAGACAGAAATTAGATCAGCTTTATGAAACTATAACAATCACAAACCAATAAAACCAATGACCGGGGGGGAGGTTGCTAGAGTATATATTTTTTCTTCCCTCCTGAGAATAGGAAGGGGTTAATTCAGCACCCTCAAAGAACAGTGACAAGTCCTGGACAATACCAGCTCTTGCAACACGGGTCACCAGGCAATCTTCAGTCATCTCTCAGATCACCAGTCGTAACAGGTTTTACGGCTGCAGCAGTGGTGAATTCCTTATGAGACACACTCACCACTAACAGCAGCATCTTGAAAACCCTTCCGCTACCTACATGCACATTCTAAAAGGAAGTTTTTGTAGCCTAAAAACACCTTAAAGGCATTAGYACATACAGAAACCCTCAGAATACCTGAAGTGGAGAGATTATCTTGCTGTTCAAGGTTGGTGGTTTACTGTGAGATTCTTTGAAGCTCTCCGGTGTTGCAAGTTGGCCGAGGGAGGCAGAGGCATTCGGGGTTAAGGCAGACTTAGTGCCAGACTGCTGCTGCATTTGGTCATGCTGCGGGGTCAACCTGAGTTTCTGGAGAAGATCAACACTTGAATGGGACGTATTCGAGACAGTTCCTGTGTTTGTTGATGTCAAGGGTGGTATCAACTGGCTTTGGCCAGCCATAAGACTTTGTGGAGCGTGGTTCATGTCAGACGGCAGCTGATTCACTAGCGGGGAGATCTGCCTGGCAGCTTGCTGCATAACTTGCATGATGCTGTTGGTTTGTTTTAGGCCAGGAAGCATCTGAGCAGGGGCAGCTTCCCCTGTCGAGGCTGAACTCAGAACGGGGCTCAAGCGCACCGWGTAGCTCGGAAGGTTTTTAACGTCAGGCCGGGAAGCTGGAGCTGCAGGTATTCGCAGAGGCGTCAAACCCTCCTGGTGAGGGAGGGCGCCGGGCCCCGTTTTAACCCCGGGGCTCTCGGGCTTCCCCAGCGGCTGCTGCGTCGCTGCCGGCTGCTCGAAGGGGAAGGGCAAGAGCAGCCCGCGCTGCTCGCGGGCCGCGGCCTCGGCCTGCGGCCTCTCCAGCCGCTCCGGGGCAGGACACGGAGCCGCTGCCTGCTCCTTCGGCACCGAAGTTCCAAACAATTCTTCCAGAGTCAGGTGCTTTTGTCTTGACTGAAATGGCTACAAAGAAGGGAACAAGGAGTTGGCAGAGTCAGTACAGGCACCTCCTACCTCTTTGTGCCTCTCACACAACCTACTACAGCCTTTAAAACAAAACAAGAATCCCAGACAGGACAGTCTGCATTACTGAATTCTTTAAAGCACAGACTGGACATCAAGTGCCTCCTATTCACAAGGATTTTAAGCTTATTTCCTTAACAAGAAATAGCCTCTCTGCATAGATTAATTACCCCAAAAAGCTCACCAGGGTGAGCTCACATTGCTTTCTCCAGCAATGTACTGAAAATATTTCTCTACATAAAATAGTTATAGAGCAAATTATGCCATAAGCTGCTCAGCAGCTTCAACACTGTGCTTTGCAGTGTTGGTTAGTCATTTGACTAATACCAGTGACTCAGTGAAAGTGCAAAGACCATCTACATCATGAGCATAAAACATTTCACCAACAAAGACACTTGAGATAACTAAGCTTGCAATCATCTGTGTTTCAGAAGCAGCTTCAGACAGACCACAATGAAGGGGGGTCATCAGCTGTCATGACTCTCCCTCTTTTTCAGCATTCCACATTTCTCCCCTCCATGGGCATTATTCCTGTATTCCAAACCCCCAGCTCTGTACAAGCTGTTACAGTGACAGGTCTCCAACAACGTGTCACTGCAGTAGATGTTTACATCCCATCCACTYATGTATGATACCTCATCCAGGGGGAGATGTATACGTGTACATGCATGGGTATGTATATATATATATAGTGCCTCTCTCTAGCAATACATATTCAGCAAAAAAAAAATTGCTATTATGARAAGTGTCCTCGCTCTGCAGAAGTACACCATTATCACTTACGTCAGCATTTTTTCCCCCCAATATCTCTGCAAATATTACCCGATCTACCCCTTCTACAAAGCAAGTATTTGTTCAGAACTGTGCAGGGTGGCATTAGCTTCCATGGGGCCTTGCATTTCCCAGCTATGGGKCTTCACTGCTTGCAAAACACACGAGCTAAGCGACGTGAGGGCCCCAGGGCTGGTGCCACCACTTTGCAGCCATGGGGTTTTCCTGTCAGGCTGAACTGACATCAGATGAGGGCTCCACTGGAGGGCACTATGAGCAGGCACTAAGTGCTCACAAGTTGCAGGGAATCTAATTACAGCAACAATTAGATTTTTAAATGAATCTTTATCAAGTCCTGTATGAAGCTACAAATCCCTCATGCACAAGTGCTTACATAGCTGCCTAATGGTGCTAGCAACTGAGCTCTCACTGCCTATATTCCAGCTACTCCAGCTTGCTGCTAAATACTCAAAGACAACATGCAAGGGCAATATGTTATAATACACAGCAACATTCTCTCCAACATTTTTACAAATCTTTATTCACACGAACACCTCCAGGCTTTAGAAAACATAGATATTTGGACACATCCTGATTAAGCACATTGTATCTAACACCATCTGGAACAGATCTACAACGTATTAGAATTATCATATCACAGGGAAATTTGAGATTATTCCTTCCTGCAGAAGGAATACACCATTGAAGTTTTACATATATTTTTATATATRTTATATATAAAAACATATAAAAACACATACAGGTAGACAAGACACTAGGATCAGAGCTCTCCCAGAAGCAGTTATGGCAGAGAGGGCTGGGTGCTGCTCTGCCCAAAGTGCTTCCCCACTTCCCCACTCATTTCTTTTCATGTTAAAGGACAAAAATTTTATTAGACAATACTACAGGCATTCTTGTAAGTGAGAAGAGAGAAAAACGTTCTGTTCTGGTACCAAAACCAAACAGTGATGAAGCAAAGGTCCTTACCTAAGCTGGGCTGAAACCTACCTGCTCGTGCATTTGTAATGCAGTTGCATGTTCTGAAGTCTCTGTGGCTTCTGGTTTTGGGGGGCTTGTGTTCTGCTGCATTCCAGAACTTGATACAATACTCAAATCACTGATCTGATTCTTTAAAAAAGCACACACAACAAAATTACTACAAATAAGTAAGTTTTTACCCTATGTCTATCCATTATATTTCTGTTGTGTGGTACTTCAACTGAAGCACAGAAAAGAAACTGATTTTTCTAAGACTGTCAGGAATTCTCAAATTTTAGGAAGCAAAAATCATGCCAAAATACCCACCATCTGGTATGTGTTGATAATGCTTTTGCTCTTTACTACTAAGAAACTAAGACAACTTGCTTCATCTATTTTGCACTAATAAAGAAAAAGGAGGCAGATTTCTTCCATCTCTCTTCACTAGCTGCTAAGAGGAAACCAAAATAGAAACAACTTAGAAAAATCCCGTTAGAAACTATTTTAAGTAATTGCAAGAGCAGCTTGCCACAAATTTACTTCTACCGGAGTTATTTAGTCACATGCACGTGATTTGACAAGGGTCAGTTTTCTGACCTAAAGGCTAAAAACAGTCAAAGGGGTCACAGTGATATGACACAGGGTGATATTTACAGTTGGAGTTGATTTACACCTTCTATTAATCTATACATTTAGGTATTCAAAATAAAAAATGTATTACAGTTCTAAACATTGAACCAACTCAGCCTAGCATTCAAGAGAAACTATGGCTTATGCATATGGCCTACCTGAACATGAATACAACATGTGACAACTTCCCTGGTCATTATATGGCAGCATCAAATTATGATTTGCATCTTGTTTGAASAGAAAATTAGATACAACACCAACTTGGTACTGTGTTATTTTTGATTTCTAAATGTCCAATTCAAAACTACATTGTTTTCTAGTTGGAAAGGATAAGTACAAAATTAACACTACATAGTGTCATTTGTGGGACAGTAGAACAAAGGACTCCCTTTCCTCTTTTTAGCAAGCCCACTGGAAGGTAAAACCACTTTGGGCCTGAGATGCTAGCCCATTTTGTCATTGCAAAAGCACTTTTTTTTYCCCCTCCCCCTTTCCCCAAAGTAGGGCATTACATTTCCCATCCCTATCTTACAGGAGACATACCAAAGGAGGAAAGACAAAAGCCCACAAAAATACACTACAAAGAATTCATTCATTCCATTAAAACAAGCAAGCCACACACAACAACACTCAGAATTCATTCATTTTCACATATGTAGCAAGTATTTGAAGGATTAAACTGRTTTAGAGTCCGAGATTAAATCACTCAGACCTCCATAAATCTCTCTTTTTTTTTTTTAAATAAACTCTCTACCCCCTTCTCATGCTGACACTCCGCCAATCTCCTGTGGGCTGCACACAAGGATTACTCTATGATCCATCTGGAACGTACCAAGCAGATAAGCACTTGCTGCTCCTAAATACAAATTTAGGCTTAATTACTTGAAAGCCACATAATTTCTGAAAGTTAAGACTGGAAGGGTCTCTCAAGCAATGAGCTAGGTTGGCAACAGGTATGATATGGGCCCTGTCTAGTGCATTTCTGAGCATGCGACGGCCATGAGCTCCGTGCGCTGCACGGCTTGTTCACCGGCATTTTACCATGGAGCTTCACTCCTGATGCTTTGGAATTTTGTTCCTAGCACAAGCTCTTCAAAACTCCCTCATGGRAAATATCTGAAAAGCAGGGAAGAGGAAGCACAGGAAAGCACTGGGATATCATTCGAGTCATTTCCATGRACGACCTGTTGCAAACACCTCCAGCTAGTGCTGCAGGAACAAGAGGGAAGAGACCTCTCACGTTCCAAAGGGCACTAGCAGAATAGTGAGTTCCTGTGCTGTGTGCAAGCCTGTTACTTGCTCAAAGGAGTCTTAATTGAGACAACACTGACAGATGAGTCAATCGAGTTCAGAAGCTTCCTTCTGGTTCTCACAAAAGCTGCTGCTTTCACAGTGCAGGGCTTGGCAGATAYAGGCCCTCCTCCAGCAGCAGCAATACTCAAGAGTATTAGTAGCACGTCATTTGTATATATGTATTTAAAACATTCACAAAAATAATTAACAGTTCTCAGAGGCTATCAACAAAGTCTGTAAAMTTTGTGCTTGCAAAAGATAACAACCTCCATTCTGAATTCAATTAACYTATTAAAAGCCTAGACTCAGAGTAGACAGGATACAGCAGCAGTAAACTAAGGAACAGAAGGAAGTTCCTACACTTAGCTCACAGCTATGAAAAACACACTTCATGGAGTCCACAAACATAGGGAATGTCTAAACCTGCATCCAACTCTAGAAGACTCAGAGTCTAAGAAAAGACAGTGAATACCAGGTGCAACTTTTGCTTGCAACTTCCAGAAAGGAGCCTTTTCCTCACAGCAGTAGAAATCTTAATTCTGTTAAACCAGTCTATTAATTTACATTTTCAAATGGGATCACAAAATCCATTCAACAAATCTCTCCTGAAATGGAACAGATTTCTTCATAGTACTGTTCGAGTGAAAAAAACAAGGCCTCACTCTGAAAACCTGGGCAGAAAAACCTGTGGTATAAGCTGAGCTTACAGCAAGGGCATGGGACTACGTTTCTGGACTTCTGCTGCATTACTTCACACCCCCAAACATTTCAACATGCAACTGCAATGAATATTCTATTATGATCTGTGCTAGAGAAAATGATCTCAGAGAAAAAAAAACACTGAAAACTGCTGTAATCTTGAAAATCTATCTTGTAAATATTYCTAACAGTAATGTTACATATACACATCCATGTTTCCACTAACGATGATCTTAGAAAATAGAACAGCAAATGAGCAACAAAATAAAGCAGCAAACAATTGTTCCAGGAAAACATCCTGTTTGCATCCCCAAGTATCTGTCTTCAAAAATTGTATTCTCGCCCCCCCCCTCCCAAAAGAGATAAATTTTAAGTATATGAACATATGTGCCTATTTAGTTCTGGATCAGAAGTGCTACCTTGCCAGCTCCAGTTAGAGGCTGTCACATAAGATATTTTAATATACAAAATTGACCATCTTTTATAATTTCTCTCCCAGAAATTAAAGGGCACGCCATTCTAGCACATCCCACATGAGACCCCTTATTCAGGAGCAGTGGTAGCACTTCTATTTGCTTTTAACGGAGAAACAAATTAAAATAAAATCCTTACTCTTTCGTATTCATCCTTGGCTTTACTGAGCATTTCCAGGATGTCGATGGGCCTATTTTCACTGCAGCCATTGGGTCTGCTGGGACTTTTCCTGTCCTGGCAAACTTGCTGAGATCTCTGAGCTTCTTGTTCCACCACTCTGCAGCAGAAAAGGAAAACAGGATTTCAAAACTTCACCTAGAATGAACATCTCACAAAAAGCAGGAGAGGGGAAAGCATTTCCAACATATAAACACATTCTGTTTTGCCCGGTAAAAACCTAACACATCACTGACCAACATGACAAGTTTTCRTTTGCCATGAGGTTTATACAAGACAAACCATCAAAGAGTCTGTACAGCTGAGCTCTAATCCAGGCAGCAATGGTCCACTTTTCACAAGCCTGCCTACAGTAAACACTACCTCTGCAAAAGCATTATGTTTAGACAGTTTTACAATAAGCTATGTGGACACCCAAGCACAGCATACAAGGAGTAGGTGTATTATGCCATAGACTGAGCACAGYAGGATTTTTATTCTTTACTTGCTAACATGCAGTGTTTCCCTTATATAGCCAATTCAGGCTGCTCAAAAAAGGCAATGACAAACTAATTACAATCTAGGCTCAGTGCTACCATTTTGATGTCAGGCAAAGACGTGGGGGGCAGCAGGAAGCTGCCTGGCCCTGGAGGCCTCTGGAGGCCAAGCACAACCTGCTCCTCATGCAGCTGCCCTGCTCCACACGCAGCCCTGCAGCCCCGAGCATCACCTGCTCCAGCTTCCAGCAGGGTTAATACACCAAGACAGTGTCTGCACCTTGTATGTTTTGCCTGCCAAAGTAAAGGCAACATACATTCCCATCCCTAATCCATATGCAGTTCACAAGATATACGTGGCTGTGCAATGCGCTAAGGCTTATCCTCTTGACATAAACACACACTAGCCTGTAATCTCCTCTTTTTTAAGCCTGCATTAATCAAATATGTTAAGAAAAAACAAGCACTGTAAACAGGGCAGAGCCTCAATGCTGCTATGTCCCTCGAGACCTCTCACACCATTGAACTAGTGGCTGCTGGAGATCCAAAGGGTGTCACTGCAACAATCAGAGACACTCAGCTAATCCAGTTCAGTTGGGATGCTGGAATAACTCTATTTTACAGACTGTTGAGTAAACTGATATATCACTCAATGGTGTCATTTTTAGGAGAAAAAAAATTCAAGTCCTAGGAGTTTATTGGCCTCTCTACAGCCATGTCAGTTTATTTCACTAGAACTTAGTTGCATTTAAGGAAAAATTAAGAGTTGGCTTTAAAAAAAATGTTGTCCAGAAAAATTACTTTCAAAACTATTACTTTCAAAACTATATTTCAAAACTTTCAAATCCTATACAAGGCCCTTGGTTAACCAGCTCTCTATGATGCAATGCAGCTCGCCCCCTGTACGCAAGCAGCCCCTGCAAGCCTCACTCTGAGGCAGGGGCCAGTCATCATCCTGCGGGAAAACCTCTCGTGGTGCCTCCAATGCAGCAGCTCCTACGGGTACAAATGTTTCTATGGAGATACCCTCAGGGAACATTTTGTTCCAGCACCCACAYGGTCACATAGTCCTGCCTAAGGACTTGTCTCAGCTCCACTCCAAAAGCAGGGATGAGAGAGGGCAAGATAAAGATTTGGAATACTCTGCCGAGCCTTAGAAAAGCGCCAGTGCGGCTATCCCAGGATAAACAAGGACTTCTGTTAAAGGGCAAATTCCAGACGTTGTGCACGTGCTGCCTTTAGGTGAAGCCAGGGCTCCAGCCTTCAGACCCTCTTTCTGCTCCTAAGCAGGCAGCTTGGAAGTTKGTTTTCAAGGAGTACACACACTTCACAGAAACATTTCAGTAAGATTCCTACAAAATATTTTGCAGCATTTTTCCTTTTAGTCCTTTGCGAAGTGTTTCTTCTCTTTCAAGTTTAGTTTTAGTTTCTGAAGAATCATAACTACAAAACTTGGCTTATAGTGTGGGTTATATTCAAATGGTGGAGAAGGTAAATACAGAGCAGTACCCACCCTGAGTGGAGATACCCTCCTACTCCAGCTCACTGCCTGCACCTCAGAAGTCAGTTTAGGTCTGACTATGAAATAGGGTAGAAAGAGTCAAGCTCAAAATACAAACTTAAGAGTTTACACATGAGAACACCAGAGCTTCACACAAACGTGAACTCTAGAAAACCTCGAAACAAACAAACCATTAAAGACTGTCCCACTTCTCCCAAGCTAAACAAGCATCTACCACCCCAACTCAGCATCGTTGAAACTAATTTGTTGCACAATTACTAGTTTAATCCTCTCCAAACTTTACACATTCCAGGAAACTCCAGAATCGACTTTAAAAATAAATTTTTGTTCTTAACTTGTGAAAATCAAATATCTTTGTTGAGCTGGGAAAAGAAGTTAAAAGAAAATTCTGTTAAATGCAACCCCATGTAGTGTGAATGCATCTTTAAGCAATGCCCCCTGTTTCTGTTAACATGCGAGGGGAAAGGACATATATTCCTTCAGGGACACAAGAGCTGCTGCTCAAGAATCTCTACAACTCTAGCACTGAAAATATACCTGGYACAACCCCACAAGAGAGAAAGAGGGAATGTGAGAAGTGAAGGTCTGTGATTACACAGCCTACGAAGAGTAATTTAGTTTTCTTTTGAAAGATAAGCCACCAAATATATAAACGGATGGCTTACAGCCTTGTTAACTCAATCTAGCACAATAAGGTCAAGTCAGACAGCAGGAAAGAGAAAGCAAATCCGCTTGAAACCTGTTAGGGTTGTGTTTTCGAAGCTGTAAAGTACTATAAAAGCAGTAATCTTTCCTGTAGGCGATAGGAAAGCTTTGCTATATGGCACTTAGAAGTGCAGCACAGCTCTGCACAACACTAAGGATACAGGAAATTTTGAAGGGCTTACCTCTCTTTCCAACTCCAAATATTTGTCACTATATTTAATTAAAATGTACATTACTAAGAAAAAAACCCAAAAACCCTACACTTCCCTTCTAACACTCTAGACTCCACCTACTTCTCAAAGTCTTCTAATYTGGAATTTTTTAAAGGAATAAAGGATGTCAAGGTGTTACTCTGCTTTAGCTATCCCTGCATGGAATAAGGGAGGGAACACAGACACGTGTGTACATTTGCTCTCATTAGACAGTAACACATTAATACTTTTACCAAAACTTATTGCTTCAATTATAGTGGTAACACAATTATTTAAATACTGAAAATTTTACTTCCCCACTCCAAGGGAGTAGCAGTAACAACAATGTATTTTCCTTGTTTTTGGGGCATCAGAGAGGAGGTAGGTGTGCAAGTTTRTTTTTTAAATGTATTACATGAAAGTTACACAATAACAAGAGTCAGGTACTTACTTAGCCATGAGTTTTGCTATTCGATGGCAGTCGTCCTTGTCATAAAACCAGATACTGTAAATTGACACTTGAAAATAAGAAGGAARCAAGTGTAAGACAACAACTTAAAACATCAAAGTCAACATTTTTTGAATTTTTGAACATTCATTAGTGTTTAATTAGTCTGGCTGAGGTTTAGCTACATCATGGCAGCTCAGCCTGCCTAATACCAGCCCTTGTGAAATTCTTTTTGCAAAATGTAGTTGTGTAGGAAGGAACACACACCAATACCCCAGTCACAGAGCTACTTAGAAACAGATTCACATTGAACTCTACTCTTTAAATATAGCAAGAACAAGCCAAGGAGTTCAGAAAGGTCCCAGCTCAGCAAAGCACCAAGCACAGCTGAGGCATTCAGAATAACAAGGGATTCACTTARAGATGTTCAAGTTGGCCCCGATCATTTGGCTGAAAGGAACCCCACAGCAAGCTGCTTTTCTTCATCAACAAGAAGACTTTAAAGAGGCCATTTGCCCCCACATACCTACCAATCTCTTGGCCCTCTCAGCTGTGCTCACACAACCCTGGAAAGAGTTCCATGGATTTGCTGTATTTAAGCTGATACCCAAAGCAGGTCACTGAAAATCTTGTTTCATCTACCAAATTTATTAGAGCATGCAAGTACATTAAAGGCAATTCCACACTSTTCATGTGTTTCTATTAGGATATCTTTACTAAAACACAAAACCCAAAACACTTTAAATACCCCTTTTAAAGCTTATCTTTACTTGGCAGTTCATACCAACATCTTTATGAAGTTGAAATCATCATCTGATTGTAAAATATGGTTTAGAAGGAAAAAAAACACTTAAAACGTCTACCTGTGTATTCATGATGACCCTATCCCTCTATAYCTCCTGCTGTACAATCCATTTCTTCTTAGAAAAGCTCAAAAAAAAAAAACCCTCAAAATGCACCCAAAATAATTTCAAGTCATTGTCAAGTTGCAGATGAATTTCCAAAGATGGTTTTCTAGATCTTCTAGTTATGCCAGTCTTTGTGGATCAAAGCTCTGAAAGAGTGATGGCCTCACCTTATTTCCCATTACAGTATCCTAACAGGAACTAAAGTTCTACTATGTTTCAGCTTTTAAACTTGTTTCTCTTACTAACAGCTATGTTTTGCTATTTGAGTCCTGAAAAGCTACAGCTTCAGCAATAAGCAGCAAACACTTTCAGGTTATAAACAAATCGATATACTACCATTAAAAAAAGTTTTCTTGAAAGAGAATAGGCCAATAAAAAATTCATACATGTAGCCACTGTCTATGAAATATTTATGAAAACGCAYAGTTTAATACAACCAGGTTGTCCATTGCACTGGAAACATTTGAGCTGGAGCTATTTCTTTAGATGTAGCATGTTTTAACACTTAAAAGTTCTTCCCCTTCCCTGACCCATTATCAGACAAAATGCCAAGAGAAGAAAGCTTCTTCAAACGCATACTTGCTGAAGGAATACAGATAAAAGCCCTATAATGATAGCTTAATGGGAGGAATGATACAAGTCACACTCAGTTCTGCCAGAACCAGACTTACAGAGGACCAGAAATAGATCCAGATCTCAGTTCTGTCTACAGAGTATCGGCCCCCCCCTCTCACACACACGGGACTCCTGGCAAGCAATCGCAAGGAGTTACTACAAAACATTAATAGTATTATAGAGATGTTAAGAAGATTACTAACAAGTAAGCCTGTATGTTAATTTAGTTATGGTCCAGCAGACAGGAGTGTCTACCTCCCTCTTTTGAAAAGACTCACTTGGATTATCAATTCAGCTGCCTGCTCCCGAATCACCCCTGAACAACACTACTGTATTTGATGATGCCTCCCACGCAAGTGCTTTTATCTGGGGATATTCTTTCATCTGAGACAGACTTGGTGGGCACCAACTCTCTTCAAATATGTGATTTTTATAACATTTCCAGCCCAATCTTCATGCACACAGGTATATTTCCACTACACTTCTTTTAACTATTTCTTTCAATGAAAGTCCTTATGTGTAACTCCATCTATTCCAACATTTCCACTCCAGCTTTTCTACRCTGAGCTTTGGGGCAGCAAGCTTTGGCAATCAAGTACAAACAGTGGGTAATCCTCAACAGCAACATCTTTCACAAGGAATGTRCACTATCTATAGATTTGACATACATAAGCCCTCTGCATAACCAAACCAAATTTAATAAAATCAAAAGAAATTAGCTACCTTCATCTAAGTTGCCATCACACATTAGACAATACCTAGGCAAATTAATCATGTCAGTTTGCTAAAAACACTCTCATCCACAAATATTTATCCAGCTCTTCTGGGGACAAACTTAACTGAATCAATCGCTAAGACTCCATTGAAATTCCTCCAGGAAAGCCCAATGAATGCACCCATTACCGATAGCTTCTGCTCAAGTCCAGCAGCTAGCTGACATCAGAAGGGATGATCTTGGATGATCTCTCTATGCTCTGCTTCTATCACTTCATAGATTTGTATTGCCACATRAATTTATATAGTCAATATTTTTAAGAGTTTATTAATTTGTTTGGAATATTTTCAACTTTGTACAGAGAGGTCACAGTGCAACTGCACAAACAGTTGACCTAGAGTAACTCAGAAGGTGGCAAACAGCATCCAGGCATATTTTAAACAAACTCTTCCATGTGACAAAACCTAGCATGGAACRAGAGGGATTACCACTTGTCACCCTGAACCAGGACAGGAAACTCCTTCCAGTTAGAGCAGCATCTTCCAGGTCAGATAAAATATTTTTAGCGCTACTTAACGGCTTTCAGTGGTTCCCTCCCTCCCCCAGCACATACAGCTTCTTGTACTATAAAGGTATCGGGAACAGGCTCCTTCCTTATCTCGCTCTGAAAGACAGGGCTAATGTGCTTGCTGGACAGCTATTCAGCTCCAGCACTGAGATGTGTTATATACTCACAGTGCTGCCAGCCTGGTGGCTGGGGTGGGATAACGAGAGACTTTCTCTTTAAGCATAAGGACATCCTCTTTTGAAAACCACTGGAAGAACTTTTGAAAGAAAATTAAAAGCTATCTGCAATAAGGTTTTGTTTTTCCCTGATCTGAATATAAGCCTACTTAATGATAAAAGAACAAGCCAGAAGACAGTACCTCATTCTTGAGAGCATAGAAGTCTCCACAAYTCATTTTTTGTTTTACCAGCTCTTATCTTTGGCCAAGGAGTAAGAAGCAGAAAAAACCCAAAGATCCACAAGCAAAGACCTTTCTCGTAACACCGAAGTTTTGTGCTCGGCACCTATTTTTTCCCCTATACCATGGAAATCAACCTGCCTGGACTCCCAAGAGAGCTAGCTTGGATTAAAAAGCCTTTTAAACAAGATCAACACTACCAATATAGAGGAAAAGTTATAAATGAGAAAGACACAGGAAGCGACTTCTTAAAAGCTTTAAGAGGTAAGTTGGCCTTGTTTACAGTTTTCACTTATTATTAAGCAAACCATCAGCTTGCCAAAAATACTGCTGCAGAATAGCTCCCCATGCCAAATAGTACAAGTTTAAGGAAACTGAAGAAAAACTTTCAGAGAAAATATTCATAYGGGGCTTTTATTCTTATTGGTATAAGAACTGTATGTTTCTTTTAGGGTAGCAAAAGTTTAGTTTAGTTTACTTTTTGTAAAAAGATGGACARGAAACAAGAAGTTCAGGGTGATGAAAAAATACACAAACAAAAAAACCTCACAACCCGTAGCTCAAGGAGATAATTGTTCATGATCCAATGTATTCTCGAAAAACTTAGATGCATCCAGAGGGAAAAATCAGAAGCCGAGCAACGTACACACCAGCACATATTCCAGTTTAAACAGTATTACTACAGAAATATCAAATACAACTTAAGAATTTTACCTTTTAAGAATTCAAGTTCAGAATACTTTGCACTAGAGAAACTAAAGAGATATCACTTCTTTATTAATTCTAACCGTCATACTTGTCTTAAGTTGTCCCAGATAATAAACAAAGGATAATTTTCTTTTGCTGCTATAATAATGTTTCTTAATCACTCTTTGTTTTTTTGCTTTAAAAAGGTCTGACAGTTGATGAATAATTGGCCAAGTTTTAAGCAGCATTATTTAAAAAAAAAAAAAAAAACCCTTGCTCAGGATTCCAAGTTTATGTATTGTTTTGGGGCTTGAATCCTATGATACTGCTAGAATAAATA